GATTCTGACTCACAGCGCCCCTAGAGGACAGAGTGGAACTGCCCCACAGGGTTCCTAGGCTGTCAATCTTTATGGAAGCTGACTGTCACATCTTTTTCCTGCAGAACAGCTAGAGGCTTCCAACTATCGACCTTTTGAAGCATTTTTATTAGCCTTCTCGGCTGGATAACACTATTTGTGTTGGGTACTGAATCAAAGAACACAGGTGGACAAATTACAGTATGCGTATTCATCGACTTGAATGAGGATCTCACCGAATTAGATCTGGCACCACTGCTGTCTTTGGTGTGAATGCCCTTTTCATTGTTGTTGCGTAGGCATCCCAGTTGGTGTCACCTGCCAAGAGCACAACAAAGCCCTTTACAATGTAGCGACCTGGAGTATTTGATCAACTGCTGTTTAGACAATTACAATGACTTGCGAGAAGAAAACAGTCCCAGTAGGAATTTTATTCTCATCTTCAGAGTCTAAAGAAGTAAAGGCCAGTGTGTGGCTTTTGATAGGAAAGAGGGGAAGACTCATTTAATTACCTGGGTTCTTCCCCACCTGCTCCCCAAATGAAAAGAGTTCTACTGTTTGTCCCCATGTTGTTCTAAAGAGTTCAAGCAATGCATCCAACTATAAAGAACGTGTAGTTGTCTTTGACAGACTATCATCTGTTGATGACCACCTTTACTGTTTTAGTGATCAATTTTCATATATGTCCTGTCACACACACATATACATACAGTGATTTCACACAAAAGGGTCATATCATACGTGTCAACATTTTCCCTGGACATCTTTCTCACTCCTTCCTCTCCCCACTCACTCTCACCCTCCTCCCCTTCTTCCTCTCAGGTAGCCCATGTTAACAAGTGTGCATGTATCTTTCCATATTGTTTTTCTTGCTGATATAATCATATGGAGATTTGTTACATGCCATACCATTCGAGGTGAGTCGACTCTGACCCACAGCGCCCCTAGAGGACAGAGTGGAACTTCACCACAGGGTTTCCAAGGCTGTCAATCTTCACAGAAGCAAAGCCCAAACCATACCCACTGCCATGGACTCGATTCTGACTCACAGCGCCCCTAGAGGACAGAGTGGAACTGCCCCACAGGGTTTCCCAGGCTGTCAATCTTCTCAGAAGCAAAGCCCAAACCACACCCACTGCCGTGGAGTCGATTCTGACTCACAGCGACCCTGTGAAACAGGACAGAGTGGAACTGCCCCAGAGGGTTTCCAAGGCTGGAAGCTGACTGCCACATCTTTCTGCCACTGTAACTGGTGAGTTTGAACCACCGATCTTTGGTTAGCCCCACTAGCTGCTGGCTGCTGAGGCCGATGAACCCAAGATCAACAAGTAAAATGGTACAGTCCCAAGATTAGCAGACAACATGGCAGGCCACTAGTTCAAGTCCAAGAACAGTCCCAAGATCAGCGGGCAACATGGCAGGCCACTTAGATGAAGACTCGGCCAAATGCAGAAGCCAAAATGTGCCAGCAAGCTAGAGACCCTTCTCAAAGCGTCTTCTCATATACTGGAAGCAAGCCACACCCCAAAGGCACCTACTCAGCTGCTCACAGAAGATTCTACCAGTTTCATCATGGGGAATGACTACATCCAGCCGCCCCACCACTCAGAACCATGGCCCAGCCAAGTTGACACACAACTTAACCACCACAGACGGCCATGGTGTTTGCAACTGATCCAAGATGCCCTCCTCCTGCCCCTCCCCCCATAATGATGAACTCCTCCATTGAGTCTCTGGCTAACAGACGCAGAGGGACCTCATGGACAACAGACCAAACCGCTGCCTGGTCCTGCGTTGTCCCCACCGTCACCAGCATCTTCAGTGCACCGCTGAAGCAATTGTTAGTCCACCTCACTGAAGGTCCCTTCGACCTCACTGGCCCTCTCCTGCACCAAACATGATGTCCTTCACCAGCGTCTGATCCCTCCTGATGACACGTCCAAAGCCAGTGACTCAGACACTGTTCTCTTGTGACCCGTAAGGTGTTCGTTGGCCTCCTTCCTGGTCTTAGTCTGGAAGCTCTGCTGAAACCTGCCCACCATGGGTGGTCCTGCTGGCATTGACGGGTGGCATAGCTTCCAGCAGGAGCTCTGGTGGCA